GGCGGACTAGGAACGTTTCAGCCTAGCTGCTACACTTGATGCTTCACTATTGGCCACTCTGTCCCCTGATGAGGCTACAACATATGTTACTCAACAGATAGTCAATGCAGCTGAGCACTCTATCCCACGTACCTCCGGTAATTTGCCAAAAAAGTGCGAGCCATGGTGGAACAAGGACTGTTCAACCATACTTACTAGACAACATAGAGCCTGGGATGTCTTTCGTAAGTACCCCACTGTGGACAACAAAATTGAATTTAAGAGACGAAAAGCGCAAGCTCGCTGGACAAGAAAGCAGGCAAAAAAGAAATCTTGGATGAAATATCTCTCTTCTATAAGTAGTTTTGTTAAGGCTAAAGAGGTTTGGGATCGTGTACGCAAAATCAAAGGTGACTACCGGGCTTTTGCTATTCCAGTATTTAATCTGCCTTTGGGATCAGTCAAAGACGTTGCTAATGTTCTTGCGAAGCATCTTTATAGTATATCTAGCTCTGATAATTATAGTGCTGAATTTAAACAGTTTAAATCTCGTGCAGAGAGTTGCTCTATTTTTATGGGGGGGTCTAACTCGCAGCCATATAATGGGCCCTTTACAATGTGCGAGCTAGAACAAGCTCTCGATGTAAAAAAGATGTCTGCTCCAGGGCCAGACACATTGCACTATGCTATGCTTCGAAAGTTGTCACGTGACTCGCTCAGAACACTCCTTCTTTTTTTCAACTCTTTGTGGGAGAAGGCATGCTTCCCCCAGGCATGGAAGCGGGCTCACATCATACCACTCCTGAAACATGGCAAAGACGCTACGCTCCCTTCCAATTACCGACCCATTGCACTCACTAGCTGCCTGGGGAAAACATATGAGAGACTGATTAACAGACGGTTAATGTACCTTTTAGAAAAAGAGAATATTTTTGCAAATAACCAGTGTGGCTTTCGTCGCGGACGATCTGCAGTGGATCACTTAGTCCGCCTGGAAACCATGATCCGTGAAGCTTTCGTGCATAAACAACACTGTGTCTCGGTTTTCTTTGACCTAGAAAAAGCGTACGATACCACATGGAGGTATGGAATACTTAAAGACCTTTACAACTATGGTATTCGGGGCCGGATGCTGAAGTGTATAGGAGACTTTTTAACGAATAGGACATTCCAGGGTCGATTGGGCTCTACTTTGTCTGATCCATTTGTTCAAGAAAACGGAGTTCCTCAAGGGGGCATCCTCAGTGTTACCTTGTTTGCAGTCAAGATAAATTCCGTTGCCACAATTCTCCCGTCTTCCATCTCATACTCACTTTACGTAGACGATCTTCAAATCTCGTGTTCCTCCTGTAACAGTTTCACCTGTGAACACCAGCTTCAGTTGGCTCTAAAAAAAACTTGGTACTTGGGCAGATGAAAATGGATTTAGGTTTTCTCCAGAAAAAACGGTTTGTGTGCCATTCTCCTTGCGCCGTGGGCTGCCTTTGAGTCCAGAACTCGCACTGAAAGCCATGCGGTTGCCTGTTAAAAATGAGCACAGGTTTCTGGGGGTGATCTTCGACAGGAAGCTTACTTTCATTTCCCACTTGAAGTGTCTGAAGGAAAAAGGCCTTAAAAGTATGAACCTCTTAAAAGTATTGGCTAAGAAGACTTGGGGATCAGATAGAAGATATTTGCTGCGCCTATACAATTCCCTTGTGCGATCCCGTCTTGATTATGGTGCTATAGTGTATGGATCAGCGCGACAATCGGCTCTGAAAATGGTAGATCCAGTGCACCATCTTGGATTACGACTCGCCATGGGCGCTTTCCGTACATCCCCCATTCTGAGTTTATACGCCGAGTCCAACGAGTTGTCGTTGGATAAAAGACGCCAATATCTAAGTATGACACATGCCTACAAAATATTAGCTAACCCTCGCCATCCAACATATGATTCCATAAAACGTTCAAGGTTTGCTCGCCTTTTCGAAAGCAAGCCCAGCATTGTACGCCCATTAAGCCTCCGCCTTGCTGACTATCATATCTCTCTTCAGATTCCTCCCGATGGAATGTCCCTACTCTCACCAGTTGACTGTATTGCTCCCTGGGAGAGACTGCCGGTTTGTTGCGATTGGTCACTTACGAAATATAATAAGCACTGAGTTACTTCAGTGGTTATCCTGCAAGATTTTCAAGAGTTGCAGACAAAGTATGCTGATTATTGTCAGTTTTATACTGACGGTGCTAAGGCTCAATCCTTCACTGGATGTGCCGTATATTCTGAGAACTTTTCTACAACGAAGCGCCTTAATTCGATCGCCAGTATCTTTACAGTAGAACTGTACGCAGTGATGTTAGCAATTGACCATATTAGACTGAAGTGAAAAGTAAGATCGATTATATATGTGGACTCTCAAAGTGTGATCACTGCAATTAGTTCCCTCAAAGACACCAAAAATATGCTTGTACAGCTTGTGCGTACCAAAATTAATCGTGCATTGCAGAACGGACATCGTATTATACTTTGCTGGGTGCCAAGTCATGTAGGTATATGGGGTAATGAAAAAGCTGATAAGATGGCTTCTTCCTCCAGGAATCTTCGGCAGTTAGCAGCCTCGTTACCTTACCAGGATATCAAACCGGTCGTGAGGGCATCAATTTTCCAAAGATGGCAGACAGAATGGGACGAAGAATCCAACAATAAACTTCACTTCACCAAGCCCATTCTTGGACTGTGGGAGAGTGCCTCTTTAAACAATCGATTTCATGAGGTATTGTTATGTCACCTTCGCATAGGCCATTCCTATATAACCCACAAATATCTCCTCTGTCGAGAAGAACCACCCCGATGTATACACTGCGGGGATGATGTTTCCATCCTACACATTCTATGGCTCTGTTCCGGTCTTGATGAAAAACGACGGCATCATTTTCCTGAATTATTTACATATCGTATACCTTTTCACCCTGTTCTGTTACTAGGAAATCACCCTCTTATCCTGAACGAGTGCTCAGTTTTATTTCTAGCACTGGCTTTTTACACCAGCTCTAATACCCATGATAATGACGAACAATGTCCCATTTTATCTAGAATGTGAATGAACTACCTAGTTTGGCGCACTTTGGCCTCCGTAGCATTTTGCGCCATAAAGCCCCCAATCATCATCATCATCATCCACCTGTATCTCTCCTCCGAACAGCGTGGGCCTTCGCGGTCTCGGTTTGTGTGCCGCCACCGCGTCCGATGCGTCCTACGCGAGATGCTTGAACGGGCCCGGTGCTGCCGTTAGGCTTAAAGGACTTACGACCCCCCGATGGAGACACTTTGCTGCCTGCTTGTTGTTCTGCCTCAGTACCGAGTGGCTGGTCGACGCGACGGTTCTTCTCTCGGGCGACGTCGCTTCAAACCCAGGACCTCGGCACCCCGCCTGCACCCGTTGTACCAAACGTGTTCTGGATTGCCAGGCTGCGCTGTGCTGTGATGCATGTGACCACTGGTCCCACCGTGCATGCGTGTATGTCTCTCTGCCGGAGTACAGGAAGTTGAGCTCTAGCAACGATTTGTGGTATTGCCTGGGTTGCTCCCTGCCCGCTTTCGCGGACGACTTGTTTGACCTTCCCGTGGCCTCCTCGATACAGCCTCCTACGCTACCTACGCCTGTTCCAACCGGGAGATCGTCCGGCGGAGGGAGGAAAGTGACAGCGTTCTGGTACGGCAACTGCCGAAGCATTCGAAACAAGGTGGTAGACCTCCAGGCACACGTGTCTTCGTTGCCCCCAGGTTCTGTTGTGTTGCTCACGCAGACTTGGCTCAACGTAGGTGTAGCAGACAGCGAAATTTTAGACACGAATGCTTACACCGTGTTCCGGAAAGACAGGTGTCGCAGGGGGGGAGGTGTCCTATTGGCTTTTCCGGCGTCGGCACACGTTTTTCGTCGCACGGACCTTGAACACCACGATCTCGAAGCACTCTTCGTGGAGCTCTGCCTGCCTCACAGCACAGTCCTAGTGGGCTGTGTCTACTGCCCGCCGTCGATACGGGAGGAGTCATACAGGCTGCTGGAGGTATCCTTACGGGCGGCTTCTCTCAGGAACTATGAGAACATACGTGTATTCGGCGACTTCAACTCGCACATTGACTGGTTCACACACGAGGAGCCTGTTCCCCGCGATCGTTCGGATGACTTCTTACTCGACATTGCGTCATCAGCTGGCCTCACGCAGGCGTGCACTGGATCGACGTACTCAACTCGCGACGGAACTTCCAGCTTTCTAGACCTTCTCTTCGTGGTAGACCCGACCCGAATAGTTTCCTGTGAGACTTCTGAGGGACTGCCCGGTAGCGATCACCTGGCGATCGAGGTGACGTATGCCGCTGTGCTGCCACGTAGGGGGCACCATGCACGCACACTATGGAAGTTCGACCAGACCGACCACGGCCACCTAGCACGCCTGGCACACCTCGCACCTTGGTGCATGACGACGACTGGCGATGACCCCCTTGGTAATTTCGATCTGTGGTGCGACCTGGCGGGAGCAATTCAGGAGGAGTGCGTGCCCTTCCGCACCCGCTCCTCGGGAAAAATTATTGCCCATGGATCACCTCCGACATAATGAAGGCAGCGAGAATAAAGAGGGGACTCTTCAGGAAGGCCTCCCGCTCCAACTGTCCCGTAGCTTTACGTGCTGCAAAAGACCACCAGCGCGCTCTAAAGGCTGCCATTCATGTCGCACACCAGCGCTACACCTCCACGATAGCACAAAAAGCAAAGGACGACCCTAAGGTCTTCTGGTCGTACGTAAGTCAACTTAGAAGGCCTTGCCAACGTCCCAGCTTCAGCGCCAACGGAAGAATGATCGATGCCCCCGGTGAGATTGCTGCACTCTTCGCAGACCACTTCTCGTCAGTCTACAACACCGACGGACAGCGGCTGTCTGCGCATTCCGCTGCTTTCGCACCATCATCGTCTGGCACCGACGCATCGAGCCTGGAGGAGATCACTTTCTCAACCGAAGCACTGAGCATTGCGGTGTCCAAGATGAAGCATTCGCAATGTCCTGGCCCAGACGGTGTGGCACCTGCCTTTTTCAAGATGATCACGCAGCACACTTTGCCCTCGCTCGCCCGTGTGCTTCAGAGTCTTTTCGACGTGGGAGCCGTTCATGTTTCCTGGCAACACGCCTTGGTTACCCCTATCCACAAGGGAAAAGGAAAGCCTACAGACGACGTCACGCATTATCGACCGGTTTCAATAACATCGATCATCTGCCGCACATTCGAACGCGTGGTGAACGGCCAACTTCTCGACTTCCTCGAGGGCACTGGCTACCTATCGCAGTCACAGCACGGTTTGAGACACAACCGTAGCTGCGAGACGGCCCTGGCGACCCTGAGCCATTTCGTAAGCAACTGCATCGACAATCGCACCGAGACAGATCTCGTTCAGCTTGATCTCAGCAACGCGTTCGACACCCTCGACATCGGTCTCCTGCTGCGCAAGGTGTCGGGCGCCGGCATCCAAGGTTTCCTGCTGAAGTGGCTGTCGAACTTTCTGAGCGGAAGAAGCCAACAAGTCGTTTACCGAGGTGCGCGCTCGGCTGCGATGAACGTTCCCTCAGGTGTGCCACAAGGGTCGGTCCTGGGTCCTACATTATTTTTAATCTACGTCAATGACATGCCCGGGACGACAGGTTCCCTCTCGTCCAGTACGCGGACAACACGTCGATATTGGCCCCACTTACTTCCCCCGACACCTGCCTCCTCCTCCAAGACTACATCAACAACATAAAGGGCTGGGCGACTGACAATTGCCTGCGGCTTAGCCCCGCGAAAAGTGCTGTGATGCGCTTTAGCAGCGGCCGCAAGGTGAAAAAACCCTGTTACCATCTGCTCGGTGTACCACTAGCCACATGCGACTCTCTCACCATCTTAGGGGTCACATTTACGAGAACACTGGATTTTTCTGTCCATATAGCCAGTGTCGTGGCCAAGGCTCGACGATCCATGGGGTTTGTTTCTCAGGTGTCCAGGCCATGTGGACCCTCGGCCTTCCGCACCTTGTATACATCGATCGTGCTGCCGTCGTTAGAGTATTGTAGCTCAGTGTGGTCCCCGTTTCAGCGGCATCTCGTGGACCGCATTGAGAGCGTGCAGGGACGCTATGGTGGCTGGAAGGGGAAGTGTGACGGGCGCCGTATGCGCGCCGTGTGAGAGAATGGCGCGAGTTGCGATGAAAATCTTCGCCACCGCGAGGGGCGCTGCAGTCTGCAGGCGAGTCAGCGGTCTCGGGTGATCTGTTGGTTCGCGGGCGCAGGCGCTCTTCTGAGGCTGCTACAAGTTCTCCTGTTTTGGTTGTTGTGCTGTTTTGGCTGTGAGTAATCACAATATACATTAGGCTAATAATAAATAAGTGTATTAAGATAAGCTCAAAGTAATCAAGAGTCGTCCTAATCTCATTTGGGTCCAATTCAGGTCCACTGGTTTAAAAGTAACTCAAAGGAATAAAAAGAGTAATAATAATGTCAACTGAGTTTATTATAGATCATTTGGAGGTATAATAACAGGAAATAATCAAACGAGTAGCCAAAATGTATATTAGGCGGAATTAAAGTCCATTTGGTCAATAGTAACTCAAAGTAATAAAACAAGTAACTGCAATGTCATGAGCGAATAATAAATAATTTTATTAAATCTTAGCCCCAAAAATTATAAAAGTAACTCGAGGTAATCAAAAGACTAATAATAATGACTGACTGAGCTACAACCGATAAATTAGCGCTATAAATATACAAAGTAAACAAGAGTCACCAAATGTCATTTAGGCCGAATTAAAGTCAATTGAATTCAGAGTAACTCAAAGTAATCAAGAGTAATCATAATGTCAATAACCATCACATAAAAATTCAATTTGCTGAATATTAGCTGAAAGTAATAAAGTTTAATTTGAATTTATGGCCAATGGGTCAAAAGTAACTCGAAGTAATCAAAAGAGGAATAACAATGTCAACAGAGCTTATTATAGATCAATTAGAGCAATAATAGTACGAAGTAATCAAAAGAGTAATCATAAATTGCAAGCTAAAATAAATTCGAGTGCGCCATAGTAACTCCAGGTTTGCAAAAAGAGTAATAAACATATAAATTTTGCCTCGTCAAAAGTGGGACAGTAACTCCAGGTAGTCACAATAGTGATCAAATGATCAGTTGTCCCCCACAAAATCTAAGAGTATAAACAATTATTCTAAGTTACCAAATGTGTAAGCAAAACACGACCACTGAATGCAATTACTGCATATACTATATATCGTGGATTAAAATGACTGACCCCGGGATTAAAGTGGGTAGCGCAAGGATTAAATTGTGTGGCGTTTGGGCTAAATTGGGTGGTACTGGGATTAAATTGGACGTCGTTTGGATTAGGATGAGCGGGAAAACCTGTAGTTCAGTGTGTGGCATCTCCAGATCAAGCGGCAATCAAACGTTTGTCTGCATGCGCACTTTTCCTGGACATTTTTTGCTAACTTATTGAAATAAAATACTCGGCGCGCTTACTAACTCCTCTCCATGCACTCTTCAGAGAAAGAAAAAGGTCAAAACAAAGGCTGCTTAGAAGCAAGTAGTTTCTTCCTTTGGCTTGTATTCTTGACGCAATATCTGAAACAGTAAATAAAAGTGAGTTCTACATTCTATGCCTTGTTCGTCACATTTTTCTTCTGCTGCACTTTGAAGCATATGAAGTGTTCAAGATTCATAATGTTATCAAGTAAAAAAAAAGTCCAATTTCCCCAGTGGACGTTCACCTGCTCCAGCGCATTTGTTCTAAATGTAAATCAAAAAAATTTTTTTCTTTCCTTTCTATTGCGTAACAAGGCGTCAGTAGATTCAGCTCTCAAAGAAAACGTCTAATTGTCTTTTTTTTTTTTTGCGTATCAACTATTTTACAGTATTCGCAGCAAGGGGAAAATATCGCGCAGCGCTCTATTCCTATGCCCCGCACGCCAGCGCTAACTCGCCTGCTGCGCGCAGCGCCCCCTATTATTTTCATCGCAACTCTGTGCAGCCCTCCGCTCCCGGCCGCCACACTTCCCCTTCCAGCCACCATAGGGACGCGGTTCCCGGATTCTTTGCACACGCGCTTCGGGCTCCACGGACGCGGATTATTCAACCAGACTTAAACTTGCGGGGTGGCGGCCACTTGAGCAACGTCGGCGAATGGCTTGCGTGCGCCTGGTTTGCCGCACTCTGGACGGCTCACTGACCGGGTCGTACTATCGGGGAAAAATGAAATGCGAACAGAGGAGCGCGTGGCTCACGGTACAGGTGGCGCCGCCTGGAAGTGAACCCAGGAGCGAGGGCAGCGCGGGTGCCTGGCCTACTCCAACGGTTTCACGCCCCTCCTTCTGCACGTCCCAAGCTTCAGCAGTGCGCCTCTTAGTGCGCTGAAAGCTATCACCGCTTGAATAAGAAAGGTAGCGACATCTTCTCCCTTCTACTTTGACGCGCACACCTTTTGTCTTTTTGTTTTGCTATTTTACAGCCTCGCGCCGACTGGGGCGCCACCGAGATCGCTCCAAGATAGCAAACGGCCTTCCTATTTTTGGTTTATTCTTGAGTTAGAGCGGGCGGGACAAAGGCTGAAAGACAGGAAAATGCATACACACAGGATAAAAGCACACTGTCACGGTCTACCAGCCGCGAAGGATGTGCTCAAAGAAAGAGGATGAAAGCCGTGACGTTGCACAGTCGGCGTTATTTGATTGGCGAGATGAGCTCATAGCATGCACTGCGCTCCGACAGAATAGGCATTCCTTCTCCCTCCTCCCCCCTTATGCTCACTCTTATTGTTATATCTTGCTCTTTCGCGCCCGCGCGTCGACGTTAGCGCCGACTGGAGTGCTCCAAGATAGCGGGCGGCGCTCTTCAAAGGATGTCGCTACATTTTCGTATACAGGGGCTTTATCACCGCTATCTTTGCTGGCTCAGCGCGTGCGGTGCATAGAAGCTCGCCGCACTAAGCGAGCAGGCAAAGATAGCGGTGACAGCTTTCAGCGCACTGAGAGGCGCACAGCCGAAGCTGGGTGAGCGCCAATCGAGGGGCGTGAACACATCGAAGTAGGCCACGCACCCTCGCTCCTAGGTTCACTTCCAGGCGGCGCAGCCTGTATTGCGAGCCACGCGCTCCTCTGTTCGGATTTCATTTTTCCCCCATAGTACCTATCAACGGCAGTGCGTGTGAATAGACGTACTGGCCAGCCTGAGCCACTGCATGCCAGGACTGTAAGACATGGCCTGTCCGCGATCCCTGCAGGCGTAGGTGAGCTTCTCTCTGTTCCGCTGAGGGAGCGCAATGCCTCTTCCGCGGGGCAGGGAGGAATCCCATGAGCTATGCAGACGATACGGCCAGCACCTATTCACAAGTTGATGTCCCGTAAGAGGTTCGCGTGTGCTCCGTGTGCTCCGTGTGCTCCGTGTGCTTCGCGTATGCTTCGTGTCACCCTGGGGCGGGGCGTGGCGGAGGCCGCGGTTGCGGGCTCGGCTGCGCGGGGTGCACCACACACAGCGGTGCGCTCGCGCGTTTGGGCTTGTGGCTGGGGCCTCCGCCGTGGTCCGCGTGGGGGTGGGGTAGGGCACAGCGAGGTTTCTTATCTTCCCCTCTGGGTTATGATTATTCGTTGTTTTATACATGTATATACGTTATCATGTACTTACGACTACTGTTTGTTTATGTTTACACCTACTCAGCGGCGGGCTAGCAGGCGCACATGCGTAAGGGTACTAACCTTTCTGTCTAGCCTTGCACGCCGCTGAGTGGGCAAAATTTCCCGTGCAAATAAAAATTATTAGTATTATTATTATTATTATTAAAGCGACGGCAGCCATCGTCCCGGGGGCCGCCATTTTTTTTTAACTGTGCTCGTCATGCTTCTCACTGTGCTTCTCATCTCGTTTTTAACTGTGCTTCTCATCACGAATCCTCTTTAGAGGAACGCAAAGGCCCTTTGCGTACGCAAGCTATTTCCGAGAAATAGCGCACGCTAAAATTGCGCACGGAAAGCGCAAAGCCTGGTTTGCGTTCGGAGCATGCGCAGTGGCGACGACGCTATTCTTTGCGTACGCAAAGCTTTAGCGCGCGCTATTCTAAAACTCCCTAATAAGGTAATTATAACATGGAAAGGAAAGGCGACAGGGGAACTAGAGATAAGACGAGGCCTTAGGCAGGGGTGCCCGTTATCGCCTTTGCTGTTTATGTTGTATCTGAGAGGGTTGGAGGATAGACTAGAGAAGAGTGGGCTTGGATTCGACCTTTCGTGCAGTAAGCTAGGCCAAAAAATTTAGTAATCCTTACCGGGATTGATGTATCCGGATGATATCGTACTAATGGCTAACAACAGGACAGAGTTGCAGGAATTAATGAGCATCTGTGGTAGGGAAGGAGAGGAATTAGGTTTAGAATTCAGTAGTGAAAAATCAGCAGTCATGATGTTTAACGATGATGAAGTTGAGAGGCTGAAGGTACATAATATTACTATTGAGAGCGCTAGTAAATACAAGTATCTAGGAGTATGGATATGTGATAGTGCAGAATATCTCAGTGAGCATGAAAAGTATATAATAGGTGAGGGCAACAGAAATGCAGCTGTAATGAAAAATAGAGCACTTTGGAATTACAACAGGTATGAGGTGGTGAGAGAGATTTGGAAAGGGGTCATGGTGCCTGGCTTGACTTTTGGAAACGCAGTGCTATGCATGAATTCCGAAGTGCATGCAAGACTAGAAATAAAACAGCGCGGAGTAGGTAGGCTGG